AAGAAGAAGAAGGAGGAGGAAGAAGGAAGAAGAAGAAGAAGAAGAAGAAGAAGAAGAAGAAGAAGAAGAAGAAGAAGAAGAAGAAGAAGAAGAAGAAGACGACGACGACGACGACGACGACGACGCAGCAGCAGCAGCAGCAGCAGCAGCAGCAGCAGCACACTCATAGTCTATCAACAACAGATCCAGGCCCATCAGACTACTTAAGTTCAAGCAGTCTCAAACATCAGTGGTTTTTAACTCTGGCTACACTTTAGGAACATGCAAAAAGCTTTAAAATTATGTAATACCCAGAATCCAACTGCAGATCTCCTAATTGGGTGAGACAAAGACATGGGTATATTCAGGGCTCCCCAAGGGATATGATACACACCCAAGACTGAGAACCCCTAGGCCATAGAACAATGCTTCTTCAGTGTAGCTCACAGATTACCTGACAGTGCTGCCCCATTTCTGTTATTCACTAATGTAAAAGTCAGTCAGAAAGGATATACCACACTGTCTGAGCCAGAAAACATTTTTTACTTAAAACCATAACCATTTCTTTGGTAAGTGAACCAGGTGACATGTATCAAAGATCAACACATACCCAAGTTACAGCCACATACAACTGGATATCCATCTATGGCCTTAGACAACAAACATCATTAACCCAGTATCCTCCTATGCCCTTTATTTGTAGCTCCAACTTGATGATTCATTACAAGTCATGTTTTGAAATAACTGCAAAAGGTTTTCTTGGCTGGAAGACCCCAGTGTTGTTCTTTCTTGCTTCTAATTTGTCTCAGTTCCAGTTATATTACAATATCAAACTAGCAAGGCAGGCAGGGAAGAGTCTTACAAGTAAGAGTCAAGAAACATGAATTCTACTCTTTATACTAAAACTAATGTGTGTGCCTTTCACTAGATCACTTCCCTACCTGTACAATATGGGGATTGGACTATTTCCCAGATGAGTCAGTGTATAATCTGTATCTCTGTGAACTCACTTTTATATGCTGCTTTTAAAGTACTCTGGAAACCACCCAAAACAATCTTTCAATTGCTCTCTCCAATCTCTGTCTCTCTTGTCTCTGTCTCTGTCTGAAATAGATTTAGATTTCATGGCTTCATGTTACCTGAAGAATACACCCCAAAATGTTTAATCTGGCATTCACTACGCTTTTCCATTTGGCGTCAACAGCCCTTTCTGATCTAACTTTCCATCATTCTTATTCATATATCATGCACCAGACAAACAGTATTATTTATTGTTTTATGTACATATGTTACAATTAATCATCTCTTTTCAAGATGCTCTTTATCCTATCCCACAAGCTCAAATTTACATCACCTTAAATGTCATATGTCTTAGGAAGCCTAAGATGCTCCAAGTTCTTTGACTCCTAAGGCAATGATCATCATGTACTTTGAATCCTGTATTTTCACTCTCTGTTTTCATGGCTATATCTCTATTACAATGAAAACAACTAGAGCACAAGATCCAGGTGGGATTCATCTCTATTTCTGAGAGACCCAAGTAAGATGCTTTACATGTAACTGGCATATATTCAACAAATATTTACTGAGTAGGGAAAAATGTAGTTCAGCTTATTAGAAGGCCAGTGGAGACAGCTTTCCCATTTTAGGGTTCTAGTTGGACTATATGTCACACACACACACACACACACACACACACACACACACACACACACACACGATATCCCCAAGATTGTGGACTATTCTGAATTCTAAATAGAAAGGTATTTTTAATATACTGGGAGTTTTATGAGGGCTTTCATGCCCAACCTTACGCTTTAAAACGGAATGTGCAAAAATGATCTGAACAAGTCCATGAAAAGTCTTAAAACTCAGTTGGGGAAAGTATTTGTATTCATGAAAAACAAGTGTAAACACTATAACTTAACGTCCATGTTAAAGAGCCATGTTTGGGTACACAAACGTGGGATAAGAAGAGTTCCTGGGGCAGACTGTCATGCTTTGAGGATGAAATCAGCCTTGAGCATGACCCAGAGGAATGGCTAGGAATCATCTCTAGCCCCTTCCCCCAATAATGGCCTGCCTCCTTCTGGGCATTCCGCATAGTCAGGAACAGGC